GAGCCCGTAAGAAGAAAAAGGTCGAGGAGCTAAGGAGGCCCTGGACGTAGCAAGGGCCAACCAGAGCAAGGCCAACTTTCGGCAGCGGCTTAAGATCCAGGGCGTTGTCCGGAGAAGGCTGCCGCGTGGCTGGGATCGGTGAGGTCTGCTCGTCTTGCGACGAGCGCGCGAACTCGGCAAGGCTCCCGATCCGGAACAGGGTCCTCAGGAGGTTCGCTGGGCCTCAGCTGAAAAGGCGGGTGGACGAGGCCTTGGAGCTGCAAGGGCGTTTTCGACTAAGGCCAGCCCAGGAAGAAGAGTAAGATGAATGCGGCCCAGATGGAGATGGGTCAGGTCCCGATTGGTCCCCAGATGCAAGGCCAGGCGTTAGCTATCGTCACCGAGGCTCTTAAGTCTTGTGGTCGCCAGAAGGTGGTGATCATGTCGGACGGGGAGAGATCAATCAAGGCGTTGGCCGAAGCTGCGGACAAGAGCTGGGGAAAGGAAGCTGCGCTTCAAACCTCGGCCAAGGGATCCCATCAGTCCAACAGGGCTGTTGAGCGAGCGATCCTGGAGAACGACTGTAATCAATGCATTCGAGATGCGCATTGGCGTCAAGGTGCAGGTCGAGGACCAGTACTTTCCTAGGTTGGTCCGCCACAGTTCGTGGCTGACCTCTTGTTTCCTTGTGAAGAGCGACGGCAAGACGCCGTACGAGCGCCTTCGTGGGCGCGAGTGCCGTGGTGAGGTGGTAGAGCCTTTCGAGGTGGTCCAGTGCAAGCTGGAGGCCCCCAGGGAAGATGGAGCCCAAGACTGGTGTTGGGGTGTGGCTCGGGAAGAGCACGCATCGGACGAGCATTCGGTCGGGACGCTTGAAGGGATCCGTCGGTGCAGGAGCTGCTACCAAAACCTGAAGGCAAGCGCTGGGACAAGGCCGTCCTAGACCGGATGAAGGGCACATCTTGGCAAGCAAAGGGTGAGCCAACAGCAGTGCGGGGACAACCGCCTACACCAGGTACGCTAGGGCGCCGGGGTGTTTACATCACCTTGGAGCGCCAGATTGACCGCGGAGCAACTCCAGGATGCCAACACTGTGTACCACACAGCCCAGGGTGCAAAGCTCGGTTCGAGACGCTTCTGGGAAAGGCTGTGAGTCCACATCCTGGCACCGCAGCTGCGCTCTGAGCTGAAGGCGTGGACCTGGAAGCTGCACCTCCTGCGGGTCGCTCTGCGGAGGACGCGTGCTCCTGTGCGAGGGCCAAACACGCAGAAGCCGAGGCTGTTTCAAAGGGAGCCTGGGAGGAACTCCCAGCAGGAGCGCAAAGCTCAAGCAGTGGACTCCGCAGGCCCGCTGCTAGCGAGGCTGCAAGCACGGCGGAGGCCAAGCGAGGAGGCTGAGGCCAAGGGCCAGAAGCGAGAGTCTGAGTTCCTCAACGCTCCCTAGAGGAAGCGGTTGCAGACGATGTCACCCTCCAAGAGCTTATCGAAGGATTGCCCACGGTTGTGCCCGATAGCTGGTAAACCCGACACAGGGAAGCTCCAAGGTGCGTGGGACGAGCGCACAGGAGAGCCTCTTCCGTTGGACAAGGTTCGGAAGGCCAGAGGCCGAGAACTTGACAAGATGGAAGAGCACCCGGTGAAACGCGACATCGCCTGCGAGTCGCCAGAGAGAAGGGCTTGAAGATCGTAAGATCTCGGTGGGTCGACGGCTGGAAAGCCCTTCCTGACGACCCAAAGGGAGTGCGCAGCAGGTGTGTAGCTCAACAAGTCAACGCCCACCAGAGAGACGACGTGTTCTCTGGGACTCCACCTCTGAAAGCGCGCAGGATGGTGGTGAGTGAGCGCTGCTGCCACTAGGACGGCACAGCGGCGCTTGATAGCCCGCTACGACGTGTCAGTCGCTTGATTTCACGCCACGGTCCCTCCGAAGGACCTAGACCAGGGAAGTCTTTGGTACCTGTTCAAGGCAATGAATGGGACTCGCGAGGCCAGCAAGCAGTGGGCCAAGCGTATCCTGTCAGTCATGACCAAAGCAGGTTTCTTGGAGGTCCAGTCCGTGCCAAGACTGTACTACCATCCCGAATGGGATGTGATGCCTTCGTGCCACGGAGGCGGCTTCCTGGCAGAAGGTGAGGCCCAGGATCTCGACAAGCTTGACGAGGTCATGCTAGCCAACTTTGAGACCACGGTGTTGCCTCGCATAGGTGACACTGAGGCCGGAGAGGAGGTCAACAGTGGCAGGCATCTGGGCAGGACCGTCGCTTGGTCCTTTTAAAAGGGTACAGGTGGGAGAGCGACAAAAAGTACAGTCGCACTTTGGTCAAAGCTCGGCCTTGAAGGAGGCAACGGGGGCTTGAGGAACTGTGACCAGCCCTTGGAGATAGCAATGCAGCGAAAGGAATTGCCAAGCATCAAGATCTTCGTGATCTCTGGGTGCAGGACCTGACGAGCGAAGGACTCTTTAAGGTGGAGAAGGTCTCAACAAGCAGCAACTGGGCTGACTTAGGGACCAAATCGCTCAGCGGCCAGCGCATCATCGAATTGCTGAAAATCATGCCGCTAGACCGAAGGGGTTTTCTGGCGGCACTATTGGCAGGATCCTTGCAAGTGACAAGAGCCCAAGGAGAAGAAGACGACAAGCCTGAGTGGAGCCTCAACAGGTCAGACGGGTTCCTGGTGTACCTTGTGATGGTGCATCTCTACCTTCTTTGGTGCATCTTCAGATGCATCTTCGGGCTTATCAGCCGACGGAACCAGAAGGCAGTTACCCACGAGGTGGGAACTTGTACCAGTGAAGACTGGAAGGAGAGAAAGCCTGAGACATCGCCAATTGTGATCGGCGAGTCAGGCCATGGAGGGGCCAGCTCTTCGAGTCAAGGCCCTGTAGCCACCCCAGCTTCGGTGGCAGCTCCACCAAAGGCGGTTCCTACTGCAAGGAACGTGAGAAAGGAGGCCTATAAACAGAGACCCCGTCTACCTGACGGTGAGTGGCCAAAGGTTTCACAAAGACAGCTGCGGAGATCTCAACCACGCAGGGCGTATGAGACCCGGCAGTGTCACACAGTTGCCCAGGCACGTGGCCATCTCTTCTGGCTACACGCCCTGTAGAAACTGTGGAGGTTGAATTCCTTTCAAAGCTTTCGAAGCCTGAGCAATGCTCGGCTTGCAGGTTCATCCTGCGCATGTGGACGGACTCCCCAAGGGAAGCAGTCCATGGAGGGGTGTCAGGATGTAAAGTTTTTTTGATGTCTCGCATGTACATGATTGCAGGCTGTGTTGACGCAGCCCTTTCGGTGCAAAAGAGGTGTGCGATAGCAGGGTTTTATCAGGGACCCCGAACCCTTTCAACTTTCCTTCTAGTCATCGGAAAGCAGAAGGCAACAATCATGTCGACTAGAAAAGATACGGGTTCAAATCCGCTGACCCTGTCACGTTCAAGTAGCAAAGATCGGCAAAACAGGCACAACTTCATAGCGGTCAGAGTCTAAGGCTGAAGCTTGAGAGCTGAGGGGCTATTTTTATCAGAGCCCTCCAAGAAAGTTGCAGAAACTTTGTTTTGTAAGTTTTGGGGCTTCGAGTTCAAGGACAGGAAGCCAGGTAGTCTCGCTTGCAAGAACGTGAATTCCAGAAAACAACCGACTGTCAGTATGGACACATAGTATTCCATAGTATTCATGCACTTGCAAACTTGAAGGACCGTGCATTTTCACTGGCGTCGTGGAAAGTTTTCATAGTTTCGAGTGTATTTTGCATACTTATTCCATAATTCCAAGCATAAGTCATCGTAGAATCATGTCAAAGTAATTTCTCAGAAATGCGAATCATATCCGAAGCATAAGCAAAGCATAAGGTAATGAAAGAGATGTTAACATGGCAGTAAACCTCCACAGACTGGTTAATGTTCTATTTCAAGTTGTTGTTCGCAGTCATGGCAAGGCACACTTTACTTGTTTTTATCCACAACAGCTCAGATTAACACGCAACATTTCCCCGGCTCCGCCGGCCACATCGTGGCTTTGCTGCGCTTGTCTTTGGTGACTTCGCCCCTGCAGCACCCTTCTTTGTTTCCTTGGCCTTCTTCTCGCTCTTCGGCTTCCTAGCGCAGGCAGAGGCCCCGCGTTTAGCTTTCCCAGACCTGCTACAGCTTGTGCGGGGTTACTCCTGATCATTGAGGGTGTTGAGCGGCTCCGTCCTTCTGGCGCAATGGTGAAACCCAAAAGAAGTGGCCAAACCCAGATGCATTGTGCTCCCTTGATCTCTAAACGGAGTGGGCCAGACCCGTGAACCATAATAGAGATGTTTCAGCTTGCTGCGCAGCCAACATAGACCTGATTTTACATAGCCACCCCCAAGCAAAAAAACATAACCACGAAACAGGCCAAGAAGCATACCCGCAAAACACATTTGTGAAACATGCCCCCGTTCCGAGCATAATCTCTTGGACACGGGCTTGGCGGAAAGAGCCTTTACTGAAATCTAAAAATTAGCAGCGGTGCTCTGCTGGATGTTCAAGGCCCGGCGACGGTGCCGTGCGCAAGAGCGTAGGGATAGACAACTGCTGCAGCCGGCCTGGCAAAACACGCTCTTGGAGATTCAGTTTGCGAAAGGATTTGGTGCAATGTTGCAACGAGAATCGGATGCCCCGAAACTTCCGGCGAGTCTTGTTCTGCAGTGTTGTCATCAGATCTTAAAAGGCCGTGCTGTTGGAGTTCGTGAGGCGTGAGCTAACATTTGCACGTGCTGTAGTAGGACATTGTGGCCGACAGGTGTCAACATCAGGGACGGCAACACGAAGAGGGGGATGACATTGCCCTGCGCCGTAACTCTCGTGCCAGGGCCCTTTAGTGGAGCAAGGTCCAACAGCCTGCATGCAACGGTTTGAAGTCGTAAACGGAGACCGAGTGTCCCGAAAGCGTTGCATACATCCGACACCGTTCTTTGTCATCCCTTCTATATGGCCCTTCTAGCACTCCTGTAAGCCGTTCTATTCTGCCAGCGCAGATCCCAAAACAGTGAAAGAGATGTCGGCCACGACCACGACCACCAAGACGACCACAGGCGCCAGGACCACGGAGAGAACACACGACCACTACACCACAAGAGACCACGAGCGGACCACCCAGACCAGCAACAACACCTCCAGGAGACCAGGAGGCCATCATGGATCGCGCCTTCTGGAGGATGCGGATACGGCGGTAACGCCGTTGACATGGTTCGACGACCATTCTTTTGAATTCCACGGACGAATTGTCACGGCACCACACACGCAGGGCGCGATTTCAGGGGCAAGGCGACTCCCGCCAGTTGTACCCGGTGCTTGAAAACATATTGGGTTTGACTACTCAACGGTGACCACCGCATGAAGAGAGAACTGTAAACCATCCTGCACAAAGCACTTGAACCGAAATGCGGTAACCCCTTCGCAACGCGTTCGGCAATCCTCGACCTCCAAGGCGAAGTGATGCGAAGAATGCTCGGATGCCGCGAGCTGTCCTGCGCTTCGCCATTCGCGAAGGCAGGACCCGGAGCTGGTAGCCCCTGCTCGCGCCAGCGGCTGTAGTGTGGCGTCGCCCAGGCCGCAACCGGCAGATCCGGCGAATGTGCAAATCTGAGGGCCTCACGGTAGAGTGGCTTCTCAGTTCTTCGGCCAAGAGAAGCAGAGATGAAAACCGTCTCTCTCTCTCTCTCTCTCTCTCGGAGATAGAGACGCCGTGTGTGAAGCGAGCAGCGAAGCGCACGCGCTTCGCCAAGCCGAGGAACGCGCATCGGGCCGCTCCGGCTCGGCAACTTGGCGATCGGAGCAGCCAGAGATGCAACGGAAGAAGAGCAGAAGGCCTTGGTTTCAGCCCTCTGATGGGGCGCCCCATGGCTTTGGCGGCCTGGGCGGCCTTGGCGGCCTTGGCCTTGGGCATTGCCGGCCTAATGAAGTGCTGGGAGGGGCAGCCTGCGTGGGGGAACACCGGACCAGGGGCCCAAGAGAGGAGTTGCCAGATTCTGCGCTGCCACGGGCCTACGTCTACGTGGCCAGGACCGCAAGTGTCCGGGCAGTCCGAACTTCGATGGCGGCAACTCAAGGTGGTGAAGACCGTGATCTGTATCATCGTGCTCATTAGGAAGTGTAGCTGGCCATGGAGCAAGACGGCTTCAGACCTTTTCTTGTGGGGCGTTCAGCGGCCAACGATCTTTGTGCAAAATTGAGCGCGAGGAAGGGCACCCCTCACAGCCGAAGTCGCAGTGTGCTGCAGCTGCCTTCTTGGCACTTTGCCTTCACAAGTTTGCTCGTCTGGCAGGTCTATGTTCCAGAGCTGGTGTTTGGCCACTTGTTGACCAGTGACAACTACGACGACTCTTCTTGCAAGGTGAGCGTAGGACTGTTGGGCTTTGGTCTGCCATCGTTGTCGATGTCGGCGGAGTCTTTCAGGTGGTGGGAGGCCGGAACGGCTACGGTGCCAAGCTTGCCAACGTTTTCTCCACAGAGTTCAAAGTAGAGACCTGCGACGGCAAAAACCGGCCCTGCCCTTGGCTTGTCGGCCCGTGTTTCGGAAGTGAGGCCCTTGTTACGGGTTTTCGCCTGGCGGGCTAGGTTCAGCCAGCTGTACAAAAGCAACATGCAGGCCTGCGGATGGAAGCCTCTGGAGCTGAGTGTCTGACTTCAAGTCAGGTCAAGGGCAAGCCGGAGATTCTTGCGACCAAGGCGGGAGCAGACGAACTGGTGCGCCAGCGCAGCCAGCGGCTTAAGGGATCCTTTTCTAGGAGAAGTCCTTCACCTGCATCACCTTCAAGCCGGACCTGGCGAAGTTCGGCATGGCGCGCCTGGACGACGCTCGGCCGCCGCTCCGCGAGTTGGGGCCGGGCTCAGTTGATGTTTTCCCATGCGTCAGTCTCTTTTCCGAGGAGGACATTGTCTCCCTGCTGACGAAGCGCGTCTACGATGTGGCCGGTTCCACAGCAGCCGATCTCTCAGCTTTTTCTGTCAAGCTACGGCGCGGTCATTCCATGTTCCTGAAGGAGCGTTGCAGCGTGTTTCTGAATGGTGAGAAACTCGACGTGAAGAACTTCAGAGACTACTGTGACCTGTACTTGCTCAGCTGCCACGGTTGAGAATGTGAATGTCTGTGTGTTCTGCGCGCCCAGTGACGGGCGTTGTGCCAGTGTGCAAGCTTCGCCCGGCTTGATGCGATGACCTGCCGGGGCCACGGCAGGCTGACGCGCCAGGGCGTGCCCCAGATCTATGAAAAGTGCTCCGACAGGCCGGATCGGCGGTGTGAGAGTGACTTGGGACTTGTCAGACGCAGCAGGTGGGAGATTTGCGTGAGCCTGACGGAGACGGGCTTCCATCAGGCGAGAGGGCGAGGGCGGAAATGGAACTCCGGTCCTGTCGTCGTTGCAAGGTGAGCTTCGTGAACTCGATCTGCACGATCCGCGGGGGGACGCACGTCACGCACGTCAGTGACCAGGTCGTCGAGGCCGAAGCCGTGGCAAGCCGGCATTTGCGGCATGGGCGCGGCTGGGAGCAGTGTGCATCCTCGCGTCGAAGGCGATCCTGGAGAAGGTGCGGCTTCAAAGCAAGGAGAAGATGAAGGGAGGAGTGGACGTTCGGCCACATCATGTCAAGCCTGGCGCCAAGTCCGCCAAGCCCTCTCTCCTTCAATTGCGCCTCTGCGCCTTTGCGCAGCCTGCCAGAAACCACCTCTGGATCTTCATCAAGTGCTTGGTGGAGAATCCAGCTTTCGATTCGCAGACGAAGGAGAGAGCTGAGGCTGAGACCCCTGCCTCGAATCCTCGAAGATATTCCGGCCTGCGGCGTCGTAGTCCAACAGACGCACAAGAAATCTTGTTCAAACATTCGGAGGCGCCTCGCGTGCAGTTGACTATTCTCGATGCCACACCATCAGACAAGCCGAGCTGCAACCACAAGAGTTCATCTGAAGAGCATCATGGGATGAGTTACATGAGAGTCTGCTTGAAGATGGAGGCTCGACGCCGGACCAAGGCCTCGTGCACCCAATCGAAATCAGACACCGAACAGGCCCGGGCCCTCATACGCCCTCACAGTATGTCGTAGATTGTCGCAGTATCGGGGTCCAGAGCCAAATGGACAAGTCGGCCTTGGCTGCGGCGAAGCGCTCCGAGCCAGATAAACACCGAAACACCATTGAGGCGGGGACGCTCAGGTCCTCCCCGCTTGAACGTCTGGAGGGCCTCCGTTTCAACAGCCATCCCGAACCGGATCGTGTCGTTCAATGCAGTCGCGATGCAAGAATCATTGCTCGTGAAATAAGATGCATCCCGCTGACGTGATAGAGTTGTCTGCGAGCAGAGTCTACATCCTGTTCGTTCGTTGTGTGTTTCGGTGGTTGCCCTGGGGACCTCGTATTTGAGTCCAGGTACGCTCGAACGGAGCCTCTGAGAACTCGCTGTCTGCTTGTATTTTTGAGATGTTCTTCGGGCTGTGGAAAGCACATTGCTGCCTCGACTGGTGCTGCGTCGCGCTCCTCAGGAGACATTGATGACGAAACAGTCCAAATTCGGGTCTCGCTGTGAGCTCTCCGAGAAGTTCCTTTCGGAGGAAGGGCGGGTAGACCGCAGATTCATGCCTCTTGTGAAGTCGGGTCAGGTGGCAACTTGTGGCGTGGTAGATCTCATCCTGATGGCAGCGATGGCAAAATCAAAGGTCGACCTGGGAAAGAAGCTCAAGGCGCAATCGCAACCTACTGGTGGCTGTGAGAACCTAAGTGGGGAGCCCACTATAACAGGCCAACACCAGCCGTGTCGCTCGCCTCACGGGCGTTCCGAAGCTCGAGGATGCCAACGACGCAGGTGCTCTTCAGAGATGCGTGTGACGAGTCCTGTGCAGTGCGAGCAGGCGGTAAGCTGTCGAGCGAGTGCACGCTGATCCTCACCGAGGGAGACTCGGCAAAGGCCACGTCGACGCTCGCCGAAGGGCCGAAGATGGCCGAAGGCTTTGCGGTGCTTAGTGCTTTGTGTTTCAGGCTCTAGCTGTGGCCGGGCTGAGCGTCATTGGCCGAGACAAGTGGGGAGTTTTCCCACTCCGCGGCAAGGCCTCCCGAGATGCCGAGAAAAAGCGCGCTTGCATCTCGCCGTGGGCAGGTTCTCAACGTGCGTGATGCCACGCTCAAGCAGATGATGGCCAACGAGGCCAGCGCGCGAGCGTCGTCGCGGCGTCGACGTGCAGTCGATGCGCCGTTGCAGGAGATACAGAACTTGATCAAGATCATTGGCCTCGATCTGAACCGCGAGTCGCGGCCCCGTGGAGACCTCCCGTACCTTGCGGCCTTGTGACCATCTTGTGAGAGGTACGATGCCGAGCTGAAGGGGCTCCGGTACGGTTCCATCATGATCATGGCCGACCAGGCCAGGGCCTGGCAAGGCCGCAAGGGGCCCCACGGCCCCTTTGACCACCAAGCCGGTCACGAATTTCTTCGAGAGCTTCCCTTGTTTCGCCACCTTTTGCAGCTCCCGAGAGAGCCCTTCTGCAGTCTCTGGTGCTGACTGTCGCGCTCGGGTTGAGAGTTTACGTATAGGCGTCACCGAGATTTGGGAGCCTCGTGTCGTGCCCTACTCAAAAGCCGTGCACCCCAAGATTTTCAGAACACCACGCCCTGGTGG